AATCAAGCTCTCTCTCTCTCTCTCTCTCTCTCTCTCTCTCTCTCTGTTGGCCAACGAACAGAGTTGCAGAGATGCTCACAACTAATCCCACTTCCCATCTCACTCTAAGGAGTTCTCACTCCTCTCTCCCCTCTCAATCAACTACCCTTCATTGCCACCCAATCCATGGCAAACCCATGATCCAGAAACCGCAAATTTCCACTCAGAAAACTAAGATCAGAACAATAAGAGCAGTGATCAGTCAAGACAAACCATCTGAACCAGTTACCTCTCTGCCCAATCAGGCAACTGGGATCGATGTCAAAGCTGTGATCACAATCAGGAAGAAAATAAAAGAGAAGCTCACTGAAAAAATTGAAGATCAGTTTGAGTCTTTCCTTAATGGGATCGGTCGGGGGATCGTTCTTCAGCTTGTCAGCAACGAGATCGATCCAAGTATGTTTGTTTTTAAATTCAGAGTTTGTGTACTTTATCTGTTCTTTAATACACTCATACTTCTTTTTTGGAAGGCTGAACCCTGAACTAAAACTCATGTGCTGTTTCTTGATTTGGTTTTGTATGTTAGGGGAAGGGATTTAAAATTGATGGGAAAATGTTTTATTCTTGTACTCTTGATACCTGAATATCTGTTGTTATAGTGTCCTTTAATTTGGGTTTGGAACAAGGTTTGAGTGTTTAATTTTGGCCAGAAATGGTCAGATAAGTGACATTTCGGTCAAGTACGGTCCATACTCCATAGAAAAGGGAATTTTTTTCTATCTTGATTGAGCTGAAGTTTCTTTGCTCAGTTGGTTGTACCCATCTTTGTTAGACTAGAAGATCCATTTCACTGAAGCTTACATTTTCTTTTTTTCAGAATAACCAAGTTTACATTTGCCACTAGTAATGTTGTAATTCTAGGTGTGCCCTAGTTTCAGGGAACTTTGGCCCTATTTGGGATGCATTCCCGCTAAAATTGTACCGAGTTGGGGAAAATTCAGTCACAACTGTGACAATATTGATCATTTCTGCCCAAATTCAAACTGATCTCAGTTGGAACCTGATCTACAACAAAGCATGACTCAGTCATTACACCTCACCTGCTGGCTGAAAATAAGCGAAAGTTTGATCCATGGCTGAACCTACTGACCCCAATTTAAAATAGCATATAACTTGCGTGGTCATCATACTACTACTCCTATTTGAATTCAATCATTTTACATGAAATTTTCCTGTTTCTTTGCTTTTAGCAACTAAATCAGGGAAGAGGAGCAGAGAGTCGGCAGCAAGAGGCTGGTTGCCACGGCCCTTGGATCACCCATACATTGTGGAGTATGCTGCAGATTTCACAGTAGAATCAGATTTTGGCATGCCAGGGGCAGTTCTTGTAAAAAATTTACACAATAAGGAGTTCTTTTTGATGGAGATTGTGATTCAAGGGTTTAATGAAGGTCCCATCGTCTGTCCTGTAAATTCATGGATCGCTTCCAAGGAAGACAGTTCAGAAAAGAGAATTTTCTTCAGCAATCAGGTTATGGAGAAACCTTTAGTATAGTCCATTTCACTTTAGCAAAATCATCCTCCATTTGATCATGTGATGGACAGTGATGGAAAGATAATGAAGTCAATGGTGGATTCTACTTTCTCTCCATCACCATCCATCACTTCAATGAACTGTGATAACCCGAGGGACTATGATGTTTCCATGCTCTATTAAGTTTTAGTATCAGTTTCTCAAGATTTTCAACGACTTCTCCCCTTAACTGAATTGAAGTAATCTACTTGGACCTTCTGATAATCGTATAATTTTTTCATTTGGGTTATTGATCTCCAAGTGAAATTGGATTATAAGAGGAGAAATCTAGTCCGATTGTGTGTCTGATTGGCAATTTTTGAAATGAAACAGGCCTACTTGCCTTCACAGACACCAAGCGGTCTCAAGGATCTTCGACAGAATGAGCTGAATAGCCTTCAAGGGAATGGAAAAGGTGAGCGGAAGGGATATGACAGGATATACGACTACACTACTTATAATGATTTGGGTAATCCAGACAAAGATTTGGATCTTTCCAGGCCTGTCCTTGGTAATGAACAAAGGCCTTATCCTAGACGATGTCGCACAGGACGACCCCCATCCAAGTCAGGTAACGTCTTAACTTCCTCATGGGTGCTTGTTTGAACCTTAAAACCCATGAAATCTTTATCATCTTAAAGATTCCTCTCTCTCTCTCTCTCTCTCTCTCTCTCTACTACACAACAACTAACTAACTAACAACTAACTAACTAACTTAACTTACTACTACGTACGTTAGTTAGGTTGGTTGGTTGGTTAGTTAGTAGTAGTAGTACG